TAATAAGGAAACATAATTCCAGCTGGTGAGTTGCCATGATCATATATTAATGTTCATGGATCTAGCAGGTTTTGATAATGCAACACGTAAATCTCGTTCTATTAGAAATTTGCCTGCATAATGTAGTAGCATCCCATTATAGATTCATCAGCTATGTTATGAAATTCTCATCACAGTCACTGGCATTGGTAAAAGAGGGTCAGATTGTTCATTTTTATGGGTAGCTGAGTCTATTTGCACTGACATCCTCCCCCTTTGTTTTTTTTTCATTCTTTCTCTGCCTGACCTTATGTTTCTCTGTGGGCCAGTGCTTTTTGACTATGTAATCTGAGCCTCAAACTCAGTGCTTGGAAATCCTTTACAGGACATGTTTCCTTCCCCTTCTGGGCTTGCTGAAACCTACACGGCAACTCACAATCCCCACGACACACAAAGACTCAAACCTGAAGCTCTTAATTATCTGGCATAGTGACCCTTAGCAGAGCACTGTTCCAGGGGAGGCAGGTGTATCTCTGCTTATACCAGGAAGGGTTGCATTTTGTCATACTCTTTCCTTCCCCAGATATACTCCTTCCCCAAGATATACTCCTGGAAGACTCATGACCACAGCAGGAAATATTTGCCTCTTGTTTAACTAGTGTAAAGGAAAACTTCCCAATGAGCTGGTGGTGCACAGTTTACTGGAGGGGGGTTGATTGAATTTTTTCTGGAAATACATTTTGGATACCATTATTCATAGTCAAAGAACTATTTTATGGATGGTATGTTGTACTAGTAAACATTGCTCAAGTCTTTTCTCTGCAACAGCTCGGACTTTTTTTCAGCAGCCAATCATTTAGAACACAATAGCTGAAAGATTAGTCAAAGCATGGGAGGGTAATAACAGTATTACAGATATCTTTATTTCTTTTGCACAAAGCACCCATACCACACAGTCATGCTATGAAAAAAAAATCCACTTCTTTGTTAATGACAGCTTTATTGAAGGGAAGCTTTCAGAATGAATATACTAGAAATCCTATTTAAATGCTATCCATTAAACCATTAAAGCACTCATTAAAACTCTTACTACAGACTTGTTATTCATGAGTTATTGGTCTTTCACACTTCTGAAATGTGTCTGCCGATACCACTCTACTCTTTGTTCCAGTGTGGCTATTAAGTCTGAGGTAATATAGATTAACTTTCTTTTCCCAAAACAGAGCCTAGTGGGAGGATAATAAGACCACAAAATGATCCAGATTGGAGAGAAAAACAGGAAATATTAAAGTTTGCCTGGTTTTGACATAATTTTTGTTAACTGTGTCTGCATACAGGCCTAAGTATTAGTCACTGAATTACACCATCTGGCCATATGTTATACAAAGAAGTGAATGGGCAATGTAGTATGCTGCTGTGATGAACACATCCTCATCTACTTCTACAAATGGCTGACAGAGAAGGCTGCAGCTTGTTGGTTTTTTTTTCTTAGTATCAAAAAGTAGCTTTAGATTACTTAAACAGTAAGGAGGGGAAAGGGGAAGAATAATACATAACAGGCTAAGGCTTAAATGTATTCTTAATAATCTATAAATCCACATTAACAATAGCTATAAAATAAAGCTGAAGCTCTTTCTCATAATGAGTAAGGATCTTAGACCATGGTTTTCTATATGCAGCTATATATGCAAAAATTGTGCCTTAAACTTTATGTTTGCAGGTAGTTGTAATTGTGAATAGATAATTTATGGATTTTTTTTTTTTTTACTTTTTGTACATCCTGTTTATTTTTAATAAGGTAAAGTCCAAATCCTGTAGTCCAGGCTCAAAACTAGCAGCATGCTAGTCAAGACACTTTATTGTTATTATGTATTTTTTTTGTCAAGTGTGAAGAGAAAGTGTATATGACATCTTATATTGTGAAGTAATTTCCACAGTATTTGGCCACTGTAGGTAAAAACCTAAAAGATCAGGCAGAATGTTTCCTTCAGTTATGTATCTAGAGCAACACAGAACAGTATTGCTTCATTCTGGGGAAGTAGACTGCTATTTAGATGGAATGTTTGCATATATGCCTCTCAAAAAATTCTGACTAGGGAATCACTGATAATGTAGGTATCCTTTATTCCTAATCAAATGATTGATTTTATTTAGAATTTTATTTAGAGTCTAATGCAGTAATATGAGAGGATCTCCTTTTTATTTTGAAATTACTGGTTAATGTCCTGAATTATTACTAGAATTCTGAGCTTAGCCTATACTAATTACTTTCTAAAATAACGAAAACTTGACCTGCAAACATCCTGCACAGGTTTTCTTACTCACATCCAGTCCATTCACTCAAAAAAGAAAAAGTAGGGAGATTCTTGCTAAGAGAAGTAATTATGCAAATTTGATTGCTTTTCAAGTCATAAGATGTACATGAATTGCTGGTCAGCTGAAACAGAGTTAAATTGCATGTCTTAAATATACTGTATATATATCCAGTGAAGATGGAAACGTACTCCAAATTCCTTTTCTTCACTTTAGATGAAATAATTAGCACCTAGCAGTAAAGATAAAAATATTGGTGGTTTTAAATGAGGCAGTGCTTACTTGCTTCACAATCTTATCAGACAACTGTCTTAGAGGGTGGGAAAACATTTACAGAGTAATATTTTACTGCTTGCTTTATTGATAAATGGGAATTTCACTGTGCAGTCAGAAAAAGTAATGTTTGGGTCAGAGAAGAACTAAGCCCTAATATTGGGAGGATCAGTTTTCTATGTTTAGAATTAAGCATAGCACAGAAGTGATGTCTACTCTTGCAAGCGTCAGAATATCAATTGGATGATAGTTTGTTGTTCCTATATATGTAAACAAAATACAATGAGGCTGAAAGAATGTCAAGAGTTTTATGAAACTCCTAATAACTGATCTATTAAGATACTAGCTTGATAATAGTAAGTTATTAAAACTATTAGTATATTAAGATATGTTAAGCATAGTGCCACAAAATGGTATGATTGTGAACACAAATATTGTTGGATTTTTTAAAAATCTTTTTTGGGACAAAAATTGTGTGGAAATTCAAAGAAACCAGTTTCATTCAGAGCTGCAAACTATTTAAGAACACATTTTGAACTGTCAGTAACACACTTAATGATACAACGTAAGTGAATCCTATGCCAACCACAAATAAAATTTTCCTGGTTTTCATGGTCTCACAGAGTTAATTTCTTCCTCATTCCTCTAAAAGTCTCATTTCTTCCTGAGGGAGGTTCTGTATCAGCTCCTCTAGATAAGGCAGTTTGCAAAGGGGCATCCAGAACCTGAACTACCACACTCTTCTGCAGCAGATCTCAGGTAGGTTTTGCAGAGTACCTCAACCTGGCCCAGCTCCAGAGAACTGTAGTGGAAGTTAGCAAAATTTGAGAAAACTGGCTGGTCAGTGTTACAGCAGTTAATTGAGTCTAGGATATTAGTAGATAGGATAAGATACTGGGACTTGGTTTTCTAAACGGTAATGTTGGGGTAGTCTAAGACCTCTATCAGTCAGCCAGGCAAAATGATTTTTAAAAGAATGATCTCAAAAAAGAAGCAAAGTTACATAAACAAATTGTTTAAGATATGTAAAGATGTGTAAGAATGAAGCAGTTTTCTGAGTGCCCAATTAGTAATTATTAATCTACAGGATAAATTGTAATAGATCACACTATTTTGCACACGTTCATTGTCTGGTAATACCTATTCTAATAGATTACAGGTCATATTTCATTGTCTTTAACATAAAATGGATTCACAGCTGTTGTAACCCTTGGAGGTGTTTGTAAAATTGGTGTTAAAAGTGGTAGCTTGATGCTGTAGCGGCAGTATGGAGCTTCCGACTTGTGCTTTCTTGCACAAGTGGACATAGTGAACTGCCCCATCTAGGCTTATATGTGTCATTATTTTTTTTATAACTTGCAGCAACCTGGCATAGGGAGCTGCTGACTGTAACCAGGATTAAGCAAAGGGCATGAGTCACAAACCACAATTGCGTATGCGTGTTGATGAAACAATTTTATGGTCTCTAATGTTATAGAAAGGGAAGGTAAAAAAAATATGTGATTAATTGTGGCTTCTGAGTATGAGATGACCCTTCATATGGCCACTATCATAGTGGGCATAAGCAGGTACTATCTGTTATGTATTTCATATTTACCCAGCTCTATGTAACTGGCTAGTATTCCAGCCTCTACTACTTGCTTTCAGCCTTAGAGGTAAAAGTAAGTAGTAGAGCCTAGAAACTTCCTACTGGTGAAGGATGAAGGAGTGTGGGACAAGCTTCAGTAACTACATCCCGGACCATGAAGGAAGCAGGAAATAAACACTGATTCTAGGACCATATAGTTATGTGTATAAATAAGAGATCATTAAAATGTAAAAAATGCCTGAATTGCTCTCTTATTTATGACTCAAGGAAATAAAAATCAAGTCTCTATGTTGTCTCTGGATGATATGCAGTTCGTTCCTTGAGCAACACTGGTATCATGTGTTGGCCTGGCATCAAAATGAAAGAACAGAAACAACAACAGTTTTCTTCTAGAAAACTTCTTCAGGAACATTTGGAATTTGTTTAGTAAACAGGACACTGGATTGTTTGAACATCTGCACTTAGCGATAAAGATGAAAATATTTACTCTCCTTCATGCAGTGTTTCTGAGATTTCTGACTTTTAATCTATTATGTTAGAATCCCTCACTTGCCAGACTGAGTGAAAAGATAAAAAGATAGGTAGCTTACCCCTGTCTCTCTGAAGAGAAAGCCCTGGATCTGAAAAGCTTATTGTTTAAATTCCTGATGGGAATTTCAGATGCATAAATACAAACTGTTTTATATAATATGATATGTTACAATGTGTCCCAAAATCATAATTTTCTTTCAGAAGCAAAATATTTCCAGAGTAAGTTAAGGGAGCATAGAATTTCTAATCATTGTAAATACATACATAGTCCTTAGCTAAAAGTTTCCTTCTGTTTTCTTATCTTTCTCTTTTGAAGTCTATCGATCCTGGTCAGCAGTTCACATGGGAACACTCTAACCTGGAAGTAAACAAACCAAAGAATAGATACGCGAATGTAATTGCATATGACCATTCTCGTGTTCTACTCTCAGCAATAGAAGGTAAGGAGACCTTTGAACTGAAAAATACTAAATCCTAAAATCTAGTATAATTTTACCTCCTGATATATTTGCGTACTGATATTAAAAAGTGTTAATTAAAGTACTTCCAGTAAATTCCTGTAATGACAATAATTTTCTGATGTTCATTCTCAGTAATTCATTACAAAAATAAGCTAGAATTGACACAGGGTGACATACAGCACTGAATGTGTCAGGTTTCTGTGTGTATGCCAATGTGTTATCTGAAGGAAGTTATCATTGCTGTTTACTTATGCTAATTCTACAAAGCAAACGCAGCAGTAACCATGCGTGAATTAAGGTTTTTGTAGATCAATGACATTATCAGCATTCTGATCATTGAGTTTCAGTTGCTAAATCCTTAATGTGGGAAAAAACCAGTTCAACTTTATGTTCCCATGGAGAATTTTGACAACTCTCTGTTAAATCTTCTCTTTCTTCCTTTTTCTTTTACAACCTGAATTTTAAACAAGAGTGTTTAAACAAATGGCCACATGCACACATTTTTGGTACCTCAGTATTTCACTTCTAAAAGATTGGCAAAGGGTATAATTAGAGTTCTTCATTTTACCTTTCTTTGTCAAAAAACTTTTTAAAATTTTGAATGTTTTAGAGTTTTAGCTTAAACAGACTGGTCAAAGTGATCAGCTCTGAGCATTATGTCTCTTTTACCAGGTAAAAACAGTAGACGGCACTGATTTTCACTCAGAGGATTTCTTTTCTTAGCGATTTTGCCTTACTTTAACCTGCTTCCTGGGATGAAGACATATTTCCAATTTATTTATATTATTGACAGGTATTAATGAGGGCCAGCATATAACTGATTGTATATTTAAGTGAAACAATTTAAATTAAAATAGAATTTGTCTTTATTAACTGTGACAGATCTTGCATATGATATGCAAGATGTCAGAACTGTATTCAAGGTCATAATTATTTCAATCCTAACATGCTACAAGTTAAACTGCCTGCTATTTTAATTCAATTGTAAACAATTTCATATTTTTGGCCTAGACCTGAAGACACTGCATACAGGAGGGACAGTATTAAGAGGTGTAATCCATTTTAATATTAGTAGCTTGGTGAAGAAAAAAGCAATCCAACTGATTGATCTTATTTATCGCAGCTGCGTACTATGGGCTTTGATAACATAGATAAGAGCTTCTCAAATATATTAGAAAATTTGAAAGACTGCCTTGAAGAATTTGGATATGATAATCTGCTTATGTTCTTTCTACCTCTGAGGCTCATATAGCCTTTTGTAAAGTCATAAATTTTCACATTGCCTTGTAGAATAATATAGCTGTATAGAAACCTGCCACGATCTAGTAGATTTACGTGTCTGAACACTGAAGAGAGGGTATTTTTATTAGCATTATATATGATGTAATTCAAGAAAAATATCCCTCTCTGTGTCACTAGTCTAGACCAAGAGAACATGGTCAGAAGATGCCAGGAACAGCAACTAGACAGTCATTCTGAACTGTTATGTAAAGTTCTTTGGAATTAAGTGTTTAGCTCAGAAGTAAGTCTGTTTGACAGAAGACAAGATTTCCACTGGATTTTGTATGGAAAAAAAGAGTTGTGTAATGGGGGGAAGAATGAGAAGAAAAGGTCTAATTTCAAATAAATTTACTTCTAATTTATAAGCCAGATGTCTGAGTTTAAAAAGTTCTGCCACGTTCCAGTTCAAGTAGATGAAACACAAAATTTGGTTCCTGTAAAGAAAATTAACATATTCAGAGAAGAAAAAAAATTAAGAGGCAAAACTGAAAATGTTAGTCATAGTAATTAAATGAATCAAAGTACACTGCATTAGACTACTTTTTTAAAAAACAGGTGGTAAAAATATGAAAAAAATCTATGTTTTTGCTGTAGGAAAGGACTGAGGATTTTAAGGTTCAGGGACAGCATACAGTTAAACTGTAACATTTAATTCAGTTTTTAAAGCAAAAAGTACCACAGTGAGGCTAAAATTTCTAGCCCTGTATTAGTCAGTGAATCTAAACAAAGAAAAATATTATCATCCTTTGAAATATCAGTGTTAGATGTATTATCACAAGTGAGATTTTGACCTATTTGGTGATTTGCATAATTTTAAGTATTTTATCAGTCTTCAGTTCATGGTGAAACAAGCAGCTTAAATCAAATATTAAATGCCTTTTTATGCTATGATAATTTGTCTTGGAAACAGTAGTAACTTAGTACTTAATTACCATTTTAAATTCTTTCCTTCTGGGATTTTACATAATTCTTTTCCTCACATTTTATATGTGTACCTCCATAAGTTTGTTAACAAGCATTTGTTAACAAGTGCTTCTCCTTCAAATTTTAAGTAAATATTTCTACAATGAAAATACGATTTGCCTAGGATTAATTAGTTGACAGCTAGGTTTGTTTTCGTGCTACCAGGGAAATTAATACTTTGAATATTGTTTTAAAAAAATAATTCTCCTTTACCTATGTTACTATACAAGTTGATCAGAACCTAAACTGGGACCACATTACATTTTGTTACAAATACCTGGAGAATATTTGCTTGGATTTTGCATATGGACCTTATGTGCAACTCTTTGGCAGCCATAAGAAGACTAATATTATCAGTGAGGTTAAAATAATAACTCTGCTGTTTCTAAGGTGAAGAGCTCCATTCTACACCTAGACACTTGGTCCATGTTTCAGAGCAGATTTATATGAACAAGAAACTAGACATCTGCCAAACTGTAATACTACACTGATGGTCACTTTGCATCGTGATGATGTAGCACAAACATGGAACGCTGTGATTGCTAATTGAGAATGGGACACAAGACTGGTTTTGTTCAGTTGTCTGTCTCTGTGGCCAATATGAAGCAATTCCTAGAACATCTTAGGATGCATGTAGCAGATAGTTGAAATTACTTCTTTCCACCCATTGATATTACCAAGTTCATAAAAATTTCATTAGCAAAAGGCTTACCAATGCTGTCAAAGTGTTTATTTTGGTACCTTTTATAAGTCTTATTACATATGTTCAAACCTGGTTTTGAGCCCCTGCTACATTCTTGGCCTCTGTAATTGCGCATAGCATGGAGTTCCACAACATAATTGCTCATTTAGCAGGAAATGATTTTTTTATGTAGTTAAACTCACCACTGTTTAAGTTTTATGACTATAGATGTTCCTTTGGAAAGAAAACTCAAGACTAATTTTGGTAATTTGAATTTCCACCTGGCAGAAAATACTACTTTGCAAAATTTTATTCAAATGTTCTTGAGATTTCATTGCTCATGTTGTGCTGCCTTTGGATGTGCCTGAGAAAGATGCTTGAAATGTTGCTGTACAATGAAAGAATTTTATAACATAGTGAAGTTTATTGTATGCATCTAAGTAAACTTGAGAGCAGAATTTACCAATTGAAAGTTAAATAGATTGTTTTAAAACAGCAGGATCTGTGCCCTTAAACATCTAAGTAGTAAATAAAATACTGGGAAAAAATGATTAAACATTCTGCATTTTAAAAAGTCTTGCCAGAGACTTTTAGGAGTCTCTGTCTTTTAGGAATCATCTAGGATTAAAAGTCTGCTGTATGTGGCATGGATTTGCATACTGCAATTTAAAAATATATAAAAAATACTATCTATCATATTTCAGCAGTATAATTTTTGTTTGGTAGGAAATCTAGTAGCTTTAAAAGGCAGCTAAAGCTACAAGTCTTTGACTGTAATGTAAGTGGTTGAGAAAGAAAAAGGCAAGAAACTGCTAATAAAAGTCTGACTGCCAGTTATTGGTAAATTATTATGGAGTATGTAGGCTATCATCTTTAGATTTAGAAGGTATCCTAGTCAGTATAAATGCTTGAACAACTACTGAGCAGTCATGGACTTTGCAAATTATTTGTGTTCTCTCATGTTGCATTACTGTTGCATTCCACTAACAACACATAATTACACACACTATTTGTATGCCCCTTTGCCCTGCAAACCCAGAGTGCCTTAAAAACAGCAACAGTATTTCAGTTATGAGGTTACAGGGTATGGAAAGATCAGTGAAGCTGAAGAAGACTTCATGGTGTAAAAGTCACTGTAAAGTAGGCTTCATAGTGGCTGTTTAAACAGCAGTACCAAGACAAGTTCACAGAATCACAGAATGTCAGGGCTTAGAAGGGACCTCAAAGATTATCTAGTCCAGCCCCCCTGCCAGAGCAGGATGACCTGGAATAGGTCACACAGGAACATGTCCAGGCAGGTTTTGAATGTCCCCAGGGAAGTAGACTCCACAACCTCCCTGGGCAGCCTGTTCCAGTGCTCTGTCGTCCTCACAGTGAAAAAGTTTTTCCTAATATTTTTGTGGAACCTCCTATGTTCCAGCTTGTACCCATTGCCCCTTCTCCTATCATTGGACGTTGCTGAAAACAGCCTGGCCCCGTCCTCCTGACACTCCCTCTTGACATATTTATAAACATT